TAGAAATTAGAAGGAACCAGTGTAAGATTTCTTCTTGATGAGCCCGTGTGAAGCTGCATCTAGAAATTAGAAGGAACCAGTGTAAGATTGCTTCTTGATGAGCCAGTGTGAAGCTGCATATGAAAGTTAGAAGGAACCTGTGTAAAATTGCCTCTTGATGAGCCCGTGTGAAGCTGCATTTGGAAATTAGAAGGAACCCGTGTAAGATTTCTTCTTGATGAGCCCGTATGAAGTTGCATATGGAAATTAGAAGGAACTCGTGTAAGATTGCTTCATGATGAGCCCGTGCGAAGCTGCATCTGGAAATTAGAAGGAACATGTGTAAGATTGCTTCTTGATGAGCCCGTGTGAAGCTGCATCTAGAAATTAGAAGGAACTTGTGTAAGATTTCTTCTTGATGAGCCCGTGTGAAGCTGCGTCTGGAAATTAGAAGGAAACCGTGTAAGATTGCTTAATGATGAGCCCGTGTGAAGCTGCATCTGGAAATTAGAAGGAATCCGTGTAAGATTGCTTCAGGATGAGCCCGTGTAAAGCTACATCTGGAAATTATGAGAAGGAACCCATGTAAGATTGCTTCATGATGAGCCCGTGTGAACCTGCATCTGGAAATATATGAGAAGTAGCCTATGTAGGACTGCTTCTTGATGAGCCTGTGTGAAGCTGCATCTGGTCGCATAGATAGTTGCTCTGTCTTGCTTCAGGAACCAATCTTTGACCTGTTGAAAATTATTGATGATAATTATTTGTTGATTGATCTTTCCTAAAAAGGTAAAGATTTAGTTGTATGCAATATCATGATGTATGAAATTCATTGTGTAATGATGTTCTCAAAAATGAGGTTGTGTTATATGCGCTTCGTATGTATATGCTATGAATTTTGTTGAAATGTATCTTTGTCTTAGAAAATAAATCCTTGAAAAATGCTGGGGAGCCTTGGGAAATTAAATCCTGGATTGTTGTTGGGGATGAAGAGTATGCACATCTTCAGACCTTGTTTTAGAATGTTTCCGCTGGGGATTCCTTTTTTGTTGTTTGAGGAGAACTCCTTTGGGAAATATTGACTTTTCTTGTGGGAAACTCTATGGAGAGTGTTGATTTCTGCTTGAGGGAAAGAGTTCAGGATTTTTAGTCGTCCTTTGCTTTACTGGGGAGTTATCTCTTGATTGGAGAGGAAGGAAGTTTAGCTGTTATCTGGTTGGATTCCAGGCTTCACAACAACTTGCTGGGGATAAATAAGTTAACTGTTATCTGGTCAGATTCTAGACTTTGTAGCAATTCACAGGGGATAGTGGCAAACTCTACTGGGGAAGAGGAGTTTTGTTAGTGATTTGAATAAGTTAAACTATTATCTGGTTGGGTCCAAGTTTCGTAGTAACTCGAACGGTTATCTGGTCGGGTCCAGGTTTCAGCAACTCGAACTGTTATTTGGTCGGGTCCAGGTTTTAGCAAATAAAGAAGTTAAACTATTATCTGGTCAGGTCCCTGTTTTAGTAACTTAAAATTGAAATTTATTGTTATTTGGTCGGGTCCAGGCTTTAAAGTAAATTAAATCAACTGTTATCTGGCTGGGTCTAGGTTTCAAAATAATTTGTTTAGAGAGATGAAGTTGAACTAGTATCTGGTCAGGTCCAAGCTTCATAGTAACTTGCGGTGATAGTAATGGCTCCGTTAGGGATTGCAATGACTCCTCCGGGGGTTAAGAGGTTTCGTCTGTTGATTTGAAATAGTCTAAGAAGAAAACTCAGGCTGGGGAATTTGCAGTTTGTTGGGGAAATAAACCTTGTTGAAGAGAAAATTTTGACGAACTGCTGGAGAGGTGTTTCCTTTAGGGAGAAATCCATAAGGCCCTTTCTTTATACCAAACCAGCTGGGGAATGTCAGAATTAATCTGAGTCTTGATTGTATATAAGGAGATATTAGACGAGTATCATAATAACATCCATATTTGAACTGTATCAGGAAGAAAATCTGTATGTAGATTGTGTCTGGACTGTATCTAAGAAGATGTATTTTGAATAAGTATCAGGATGGATCTTTGTCTGGATCGTATCCTGCAAGAGAATCTGAAATGGGTATCAGAATGAACCTGTATTTAGATTGTATCTGTACTGTATATAGAAGATGGTAAACTGTTGACAATCTCCTTTTGTTTGGGAACTGGTGTGATGTGTGCGTTTATTGGGAGAAGATCAAACTCCTCTATTCGCTGGTGGGTTTGACTATGTCATCGGCTGGAAGATGCCCCACTTTTGTTTGAAGACACTTCTACGCCTGTCACGGATAGCCTTGTAGGGGTGTGTCATACCCCAATTTTTGAACTAAGATCCTATCTTCATTTGCATTATTTCATATATACATCAAGGTCGCGAAATATGGTTGGTTTCGAACGTTTCACCTTCGAGCTTTGATTGTGTAGAGATTATCAAGTGTTGTGAGCATTTTATCTTATGAATGACTAACCACTAATCAAGCACGAAGTGTATGTTTTGTTTTTTGGTTTCATGTGCAAGAAATAGGTCTGAAAGAAAAGCGTCGGACATCACACATCAATTAGGGTTTCGAGTCTCGAGACAGAAATGTGGTTGATCATTGATCCTCAAAGGCTGGTTCATCAAAAGAATTTCACAGAATCGTGTATTTATTTCCACACTCTGTCCAACAGATGGTCTCAAGCGTCTCTGGAATTTTTCAGAAAGAACAGTCAAAGTTCTACTGCCATTAGTTCATGTGTGTTTCACATTATTTTAAAATACAAGAAAACCAAGCTATGCCAGTCATTTCCGATCACTTCGACCAAAAGTCATCTGCAAGTTTTCTCATGACGCGGGGTGAATTTCGTCAAAATGGGATGATTAAATTCAAAACTGTTCTAGAAGAATTTATTCGGAATATTTGGAATTTTCTTTATTTGAATTCAAGCGATAATTAAAGAGGAGCTACCAAGAGATCTCATTCAAGGATAATCGTTTATCGCATGAAATATTTATTCAAGATTATTTTGTGTGATTATTTTGGTGGATTTGCATTAGGGTTATTTGAACACACATGAAGCATTTACTAAGGAGATATTAGAAAAAGAAATTTGATTCAAATAATCGTCCATCACAAGATTAATTACATGAGAGTTGCTATTTGATTACAAAATCAATTCATGTGATTTATTTGGATCTCTATTACAAAATGCAAGATTAAAGTCTAAGGCTTGCATTATCATTTATTCATCATTCAACAATTTATTCAAGTATTATTCAATTCTTTCCCAATTCAAATGGAAGGTCTTGAATTTTTATCAAGACATATCAAGATTCAATTTCAAATGAAGATTCAAAGTTGTTTACAATTACAAGGGAATTGAGAATATATTGAAGAATACATATCCATTCATGTTACAATTTACTTGGATTTATTGTTACAAAGTTACAAAAGAAATTCAAATTTTGTACATGAAAATCAAGCTATTATTCTTGCTGCAAAACAGTCCCAATGCTGCCCATTTTTTCCAGCACTATTTTAATCCAATAACAGTCCAATTCTTGAGTATAATTCTGTCCATTTTCTCCAACCTTGTTTCAACAAAAACCATGCCAAGTTGCTGTCCTAATCTGCCCTGCAAAACAGTCCAAAATGCAGCCCATAAGACAAAAATCTGCATATTTGCTGCTACAAAAACCTGTCTACAAAACTCCAAACATTGCACTAAAATGCAAACTTCAAAAAAGTTGTCTCATAAAACATCAAAACAGAGCCTAAAATAGTTCAAATCTCTACTATCCCCCCCCCCCCCCCCCCTAAAACTCCACATATTTCACTATAAATAGAGGCCTCTTCATGAACAGAATGGGGAACAACACAAAAAACTGAGGGAAGAAAATAAGAAAACACACACAAAAGTCAGTAGAGGAAAAAACAGAAAAATCAAGGAGAGGCAACCAGAAACTCAAGGAGAGGAAAAACAGAAAAGAAGGAAAACTTATTGTTTTGAAGCTCCATCAGAGAGACTCCGATAGATATTTTTTTCTTCCTCTCTTTTTCTTCTGCATAACTCTTTCACATGTACATACATGTCTGCTAGATTTATTTGCATAGTAATTTTATGCTTGAATCACTATTTTTTTTGCAACCTGTTATAATAAAAACAAAACAAATGTTATATACATATATGCTACAACCTGTTAACACAGTAAAATATAACCTGTTAAAATCAACAAACAGATTACCAATTTTTCTCCAAAAATAACTTCTCAACAGCTTTGATGTCTTTCTTTTGATTGGTTGTATCTATGGACTCACTATTCATATGTAGTTGAAGCCTGAAATATTAGTGCTTTTAAAAAGTGTCAAACAAAAGAATTTTCTCTGTTGATTTTACTTTCTGCCATTCTGTTAGGATCCTAGTGCTTAGCACTACCATAGACTGCAAGTCAAAACATAAGATATCCCATTTAACTTCTATAATTGTTGGTGTATACATAATACACAGACAAATACGTAATTGTTTCTTTATTTTATCTTGCCCATGGGTGAGTTGAAGCTAAAGATAGGATAAGAAACTAGACACCATCCCCTCTAACCACCAGAACTTAACCTATACATTTCCATCAGCCTCCACCTTGATGATCTAGAATACCCTATAAGAATAACTTATCTGGTTACCAAAATGAAAATGAAAATGCAATTATACACTGAAATCATGAGGTTGGATTGAATTGAATTGAATCACCACCACCTTGAAATGGCCGCGTCCTTGTGCAAAACCTCATTATACTCATGACAAGCAAAGCTCTACAAAATATAACAACTTTATCAAACTTGAATGTCAAATATGGAACACAACAACCTTCTTTGTCTCTCACCAAACTTACTCTCCCATGGTGACTTCTTTCGCACCATTATCCATTTCAGTTGGTGGATCTCATCTCAAGTCCTCTGAACTGTTTTCAGCAAAGCGTAATTCATCTCTGGCTGGACCTAAGCTTCTTATTCAAAGGAAATAAAAAATTATGAACAGAAGGAGCCCCACTTCACCCGTTCGTGCCGAATACCGTGATAACAGAGAAAGTGGAGGTGGGGAATTGGTTGCTAGCTTTCTTCTGGGTGGTGCTATTTTTGGAACCCTGGCTTTTGTTTTTGCTCCCCAGATCCGAAGAACTGTGCTAAATGAAGATGAACATGGGTTTTGGAGGGCCAGAAGACCAATATATTATGACGATAGGGAACTCGAAGCCAAGGAAATTTAGAAGAGAAAGAGGGAATTTAGCGAATTGGAGCAGAAGCATTTGAGAAGGAGGTTGTGTTGTTGGTGTTGTACGATGAAGAAGCAGAGAGCAAGAGGTTGAGAGATGCAGTTTGTGGGGAAGTGAGATTTTGTTTGACTGTTTTTTACCGTAAAACATAGAGATCAGAGTTTTTCAATTATAATAATTTAATTAGTCTTGTCTTCCCAAGACAGTGCTGCGGCGCCTAATCATATTAGGGTTACAATTCTCTTTTTCCTTGTTCCCTTCATGCTAGCCGGGTCAGTCCATTGGGCTGCTGGCCCAATTCTTACCGTTTTCCCTTTATGTAATAATAGAAGCATGGTAATAATAGAATAGTAATCTAGCTCAATTGGCAAGGCAGTTTACAACAATTCAGGGGGGACACGAGTTCAGGTCCAGGCTAGGACGTTTTTTTTTCTTCAATTCTTTTAGCATTATCCCCTGTTCAGGTCCAGGCTAGGACATTTTTTTTCCAATTCTTTTAGCATTATCCCCTCCATATTCTATATTGTTATTATATGTTTATAATTATTATAAAATACAGTAAAAAAACATGTTTATTTAGTCTTTGTTGTTTATTTAATTATTTCATTACATGTTATTATTTAATTTTTTGTTGTTATTGATAATTATTCAAAACATGCTTTTATTTAATTCTTGTTGTTTATTTAATTTTCAAAAAAAACATTCCTTTATTTAATTTTTGTTGTTTATTTAATTATTCAAAAACATGTTTTTGTTTAATCTTTGTTATTCAACTACATGTTTATTTAATCTTTGCTGTTTATTTAATTATTTCATTACATGTTTTCATTATTTTTTTGTTGTTATTGATAATTATTCAAAACATGCTTTCATTTAATTCTTGTTGTTTATTTAATTGTTCAAAAAATGCATGCTAGCATAAATTAGTCTTCTGCCTTCGTTATTTATTTAATTATTCAATTGTCGCTCTAGTTAACTTTATTCTCGATCTTTTAATCTTTATATCTTTCGACCGTCTCAAATCCAAGGGAAATGTTTTCACCTTGTTGACCTCTTGTCATCAAATATACGATCGTGTGAATTTCCTCATTCATTTTTGCTTTACTCTTTTGCCAAACTTAAGTTAATTTTCCTAAAAAACTCAATTTTAAAACTCACACCTTTTAAGCCAAAAACTTCGACACTAGGTCGTCGTATTTTCAAAATCTCGTCCACACCCATTTTTTAGACAAACAAACCATTTTAATCAAACAAAATTTTTTTAACCAAAAAACAGATATTTCAAAAGGTTCCTGTGGAGTACGGAAGATGCTTTGGGTGCTAATACCTTCCCATTGCATAACCAACCCCCAAACTCTAAGATCTCTTTCAAAAACGCATTGTATTTTCATTACTTTTTTTTAAGTATTATTTTACATTGCATATTTAATGGTTTTATTTCGCTCTTTTCCGTTTCCCCTTGGAAATAATAAAGCGCGATGGCGACTCTTGTTTTTTGTGAGTCGAGTTAATTAATAGCTCGATCTTCGATTTACCCCACTACATTTTTTATCGCTACAGAATTGGCGACTCTACTGGGGAAAGATTGACCTCTCGCTGGTCCATCCCTAAGTGGGTTAAGCCTAGTTTGTCTTATCTGTTTTATCATTATTTGGTTGTTTGATTATATGTTTATATTATGGTTATTTGGGTGTTAATTATATTTACAAAGGACAAGTCCTATACCCGGACTAAGTTACACTTAAGAATAGGACGGGCGGTGTAGTCATGTTAACTTTGAGGGAGTAATCCCGAAGAAGGAGGCATGAAATCCCCCACTCAGTGGAAAGCCCCTTTGAACGTAGTATTTGTTTACCGAGTAATCGGGAAGACATTATTACTTTCGACCTGGGAGCTAGAGAAGTTGAGAACCGTAGAATCCTAACCCTTCTTGGCCTTTTAGGTGTAGCGTGGCGACTATAACGAAGTAATCCGGAAGTAGTTGTCATGCAATGCTACACTCGGATGAGTTTCTCTTGAGAATATTGCTAATTATTGAGTAATCAAGATGTTGGTAATATCCGAAGGAGGAATGTAGACTCTGGGAACTCTTAAAACCTTGTCTTGCAGGTGTGATTAAACCTTTAGTACATACCCTGGGGTGGGATTTACCTTTGACTCCATGCTCGAAGCGTTGAACCTTTGAACCCCATGTTTGTGAACTTATGTGTAATTGTTTCATTATCATTCATCCATACATCCATAAGCATTTTTTTTGTAAAACATGTTTTTCAAGGAACTTAAGAATGATTTTTGCACACATCTCAGGTACTGTTACTATGGATTTTGGAAAAAGAAACACTCAGAGTTATAGTTTTAAGGAGCCTGAGATTGAAGAGTTGAAGAGTTTGATTCCCAAGATTGAGAACCCTACGGAGTTTCAAAAGAAATATGGATCCATTATCCCTCTCATGAAGCGCAAGATGAAGGAAGGCATCCTTAGTACGTTGGTCCAATTCTATGATCCATTGTATCGATGCTTCACCTTTCCTGATTACCAGTTAACGCCCACTTTTGAAGAGTACTCCTATATACTTGGTTTGCCAATCACCGACTGTGTTCCTTTCTCTAGTTTAGAAGAGGAACCCAAATCTCACGAGATAGAAACAATCACCCACTTGAGGAAGTCGAAGATAGAAGAGAACATGACTACTAAGGGGGGAATCTGAGGCTTACCTGCGTAGTTTTTGTTGAAGAAAGCTCATCACTTCGCTGAGATAAAAGATATTGTTGCCTTTGAAGATGTCTTTGCTTTACTTGCTTATGGATTATTCTTGTTCCCTAACATTGATAAGTTCGTGGATATCAACGCCATTAGAATCTTCTTGATTGGAAATATGGTCCCTACGCTGCTGGTAGATACCTTCTATTCCATCCATCTTTGAAACTCCTATCAAGGAGGGATGATTATCTGTTATGCACCGTTGCTATACCAGTGGTATGTTTCTCATTTACCTAGGTATGATGTTTTCTGGGATCTCGAGAAGGAGCCACGATGGGCGCCAAAAATTATGGCTCTTACTCATTCTGACATAGATTGGTATAATCGAGCTTACTACAACGTGAAGATCATTGATAGTTGTGGTGTTTTTCCCAACGTGCCTCTTCTTGGTACAAAGGGAGGAATTAACTATAATCTTGTTCTTGTGCGCCGCCAGTTTGGATACCCGATGAGGGATAGATGAGGGATAAGCTGAACAACATTCATGTGAGTGGTTTCTTTCTACAAGAAGGAAAAGATCACAAAGCAGCTAAGGAGGAGATTGAAAGGGCTTGGCGCCACATCCATAGAAAGGGGAGAGACATGTTAGGGCATAGAGGTGTTGTTTCTTTGGAGCCTTACCTTCAATGGGTTCATGCTAGGGCTTGTGCTCTCAAGATGCCTTATAATCCCGAGAAACCTTTATTCCCTGCTACTACATCATCATCTATTGATATCCCTATTGAGAACATGAGGGAGTATCAGGAAAATCTGGCTAGAATGAAGTCTGAAAGAGATGCTTGGAAGGAAAATTATAGTATGTCTGAATACGAAAATAGGGTCCTGACTCGACAGCTGAAGGAGAAGGAGGATATGCTATTTATTCAAGACGATTGGTTTATTGATCATGATGAGAAGCTTCGTCAAAAGGATGCATTACTCAAGAAATATGCTAATGAAAGGAAGAGAAAGAAGGAAGCTTTGGTAGGCGTTACTCCTGTTCCTAATCCACGGAAGGAAATCATTGATCAACTGGTAGCCGAGGAGAAAGAGATGGAAGACTTCTATGAAGAGAAGATTAGGAAGATCAAGTTACAAATGGCATTTGGTCCTTCATCTGATGATGATTCTGAGTGACCTTTAGTTCCTAGTTTTTTTATTATTATTACTTATGTCATTTTTTAAAACTTTGTAAAAGGGCTTCATGTTCCAAAGTTGTAATTTACTGCTTTTATTAATGGGTTTTGTTGTCCCAGAGTTGTAATTTACCTCTTTGATTAATGAAATGAGTTTTTGTTGTTCCAAATTCATTTACCATTGATGTGTGCAAAGTTATCAAAGTTCTAAAGTTCCTTGAAAAACTATCAAAATAAATGATCATTTGCATCGCATATCATGCATCATCCAACATTCAATTTCACATGTTTTCTAGAGTCTTATTCTTGTTTCTTTTTCCACTCCGATAGATTGTCAAGCTGTTTCACCGGTATAATACCCGAGCCAATCGTTAAAAGAGGATGGAAGATCTGGAGCAAGAAAATCACGAGCTTCGCGAAGAGGTTACTACTCTTCGTATTGGAATGGAAAAGTTGACCGCGTTGGTGGAAAGCTTGATGGCTGCTCAGAATCAGCCATCGACTTCAGCCGCTGAAATTCAAGCTCCAATTACTGTGGTTTCCGAGATCGTCACTGCTCCAACATCTTTGGCTCAATTCAACTCTCCGCTCCAACATCAAATGCTGAAAGGTTTTCCGTGGGGTATGCCTTACAATTTCATGCCAGAAGGGTACCAACCTGTTGTACAACCCATGATTCAACCTGTTGTGTCCTTTCCTCAACCTGAGACAACTACTATGCAACCTGTAATCCAACCTATGATATCTTTCCCTCAACCTGTGATGACTATTGCCGCTTTTGTAGTTCACACTATTCCATACACAAATGAACCCATTTATCATGCTGAACCTGCTGAAAGTTTGGGCCTCTTTGATAGGATGGAGGAGTTCCAAGACCAATTCCAAGAAATGCAGAGGGAAATTAGAGCACTTAAAGGGAAAGACTTGTTTGGGAAAAATGCTCATGACTTGTGTTTAGTCCCAAACGTGAAAATTCCAGCTAAGTTCAAAGTGCCGGACTTTGAAAGATATAAAGGTGACTCGTGTCTGCAAAGTCACTTGACCATGTATGTGAGAAAGATGTCCACCTACTCTGATGATCATAATTTATTAATTCACTACTTCCAAGATAGTTTGAC